TATATATATATATATATATATATATATATATATATATATATATATATATATATATATATATGAGAATTTCGTTTCACATTAATCTCTGATAAATTAGACATAAAATTGGGTAACCAATTAAATGAACAATGTCTCTTACGTATCATTTTTTATTATAGTGATTTACTTATTTTAGTGAATAATCTAATAATACATTATATATTAAAATATTTTATGCGAATTAAAATGTTATATAGTTTCAGTTTATTATTAAAAAGTGATGTCTTTATATAGTAAGACAAGTGGATGTTCCTATTACTATAAATAGGAAAAGGTTTTACTATTACTGTGAATTGAAAAAAGATGTTACAAAAATTTGTGATCAATTTATGATTAAAAGATGGTGGCTTTAAATAGTAAGACAAGTGTATGTTACTCTTTACTATAAATAGCAAAATTTTTACTATAATTATTATCTGAAGAAAAAATTGTCATAAAATTTAGTGATCAAGTTTCAATTGAAAGATATGCCGGCTTCAATAAGTAATACAAGTGGATGTTCCAATTACTATAAATGGGAAAAAGATATTTTGGGCACAGATTGCCACGCGCCCGATTTGCGGTGAATCCTTCTCATTATACCACAAATTTTAAAGCAAAATATCAAAATATCATCTGATCCTCTTTATCATATTCCAACAAGATAAGGAATATAGTTCAACTTTTATGTTTATTTTACATTTATAAATAACAACTATAACATCACAACCAAAATTATTGTGTTGAATAAGTAGAAGTAAATCAATAAAAATGCAACCTTTTGCATGAAAATTTATGTAAGGAGAAACTATAGTATATTCATTATATAAATAAGGTTTGTAATACAATGATCAAATACTGTTTTATTTAACTAAAAAGTCAGGCAAACAAACAAGTTTTGGCATAAAAGGGTAAACTGTATCTATGCTGAATCCGATTTTCCAAGGCGAGGTGTACTCATTCCTTACCTTTCATATTTATTCTGCTAATTAGGCACAACCTTATTTTTCTCTCATTCTCCTTTCAAAACCCTAGAATCGGTCGCCCTTCATTTTCCCACACCAATTATATTAATTTTTAATAAATATAAACATTATGATATTATACTATACCAATGCTAAAAATGGAAAGAAGAGAGAAGGAGAACTTCACGGTGGTACCCTTCACACTCACTGCATTGTAGGGTGTGGTGTTCCTCCACCTCTCCCCGCTTCCATATCACCCCCGCCGCATGGTGCGGTGGGGTACTCCTTGTGGTCTAAAAATGACCACTTTCCAGTTTGGTTCTCGGATCAAAAATTGGTCCACCCTAGTTTGATCGTAGGCTCGTAGCAGAAAGCTTTTCAGTTTTGAAAATGATATTAGTTTAATTAAATAAAAGCTAAATGTTACTCGGTTCATAATCTGATTTGAGACCCCAACTACTGATACGCTTAGACTAGGTCTAAGCTTGCACTCTTCGAGTGAATGCAAACTCCACACAGAGAGAAGAGAACGAAGAGAAATTTGCTAAATTTCAAGTCACCAGACTTGTATTTTGCATTACTTTAAATAAACCTCAAACAAGCTAAACACGCATGAAGCGGAAATCCAGAAACAAACAAACAAAGCAATCATTTATCTAGCTATTAAAAAGCAATCATGTAACGACGTAAATTTCCAAAACAATTTTTCATTTTAAAAAAACATGCTTTCATTCATAAAATATCATAGTATTCCAATGTATCACGTGTTATCACAATAACAATTCCCAAGATCCTCAAATACATAAATCCTCTCAGTGTGTACGGATCATGCCGACGCCTTCCCGCGATCCTCGCTAGTATCTGAAACACATAACACAACAACTGTAAGCATAAATGCTTAGTGAGTT